TCAGAATAATACCTACCTCAGAATGTTACCTTATTTGTGATTTGCGCCTCATAACTGATAAAAGGAATCTGACTCGTTGTGCCCTCTTGCTCACTCTCACTGAATGTTATATGTGCACAGACCAAACCACGGATACATTCAGGGATCACCAGGGGGTTTGGCACGCACCCATTCAGCAAGCTTAAGACACCCAGGTGTAGGCCAACCCTTACTATATATACGTGTGCATGTGCGTCACAGGCTCCGTGTTTAGAAACGTAGCCAACGAGCCACAGTTATAGGAAAACCCAGGGGGTAGAAAATAGATTAGCTTGGACTCTGCTACGAATCGCTACAACTATCTACATCAACAAAGTATTATGCCAAATATTACAATTAGAGTTGTTTTTAAGGTTATAATGTAATTATTACTTTATGTATTAATCAAGGTATACACTATTTATCAATGCCATGATAGAACTTGTGTTTTCTATTTTCATTAAGTGACAGCTGGGCACTGATCACATTCCCTGCCCTGCTGTTGCTTTGCATAAAAATAAGAACAAATGTGCTCCGCGCAGTGGAGTTCTGTTATTATAAACAGAATTTATAATAAAAAAAAAAAGAAATAGACCGTCAAATCCCTAACTCTGAGCTTTAAACAGAACTCTTATACAACCTTTTTGTTGAACCGATGTGGACTGATACCTTTAGACCTCTGAAATGTAAAAAAATAAATGTTTCATGAGCATCCAGCACTGAGATTTAGTTTTGCAGACCACAGAAAAAAGAAAAAAAATGTACTTCCTTTAAAATGTGTTGATTTGGACTTTTATCTGGGGATATACCATATATCCCATGAGGCTTATAGTACCTGGCGGGGTGGCAAACTTCTGCTCTGCTCTGTTGGTCAGCAGCTCTGGAGGAGGGCTGAAAGAGGACACTGGGCCCAACACAAAGACTTTGTACAAGGGATGTAAGCAGAGCCTCCTCTAATCAACCTGCTTGCCCACCACAAAGGGAACCCTGGCTAAGGTTACCCTTTAGCTCCAGCACCACATGGTGTTTGGGCTAGTGGGTAACCTAAGACAGCATATACACACAAACACTCTCATATACCTATACAGTAAGTGCAAAAAATACACAGGAAGGCACAAAAGTACAACCACAGGCAAACAGGAAAATACACACAGTCATACACCACCCACACTTTGTTACCCACATGCACATACACACACATGAAGAGATTCTGGGTGAACTAGCAGGAACCTGCCTCAGCAATGAACTTGTCATCTTCTCTGAAAGAGACTAATCCTTCCCTCCCTCCGTAGTACACTGGGCTTTCTCAGAATGTGGGCCTGTGTGTCACTGCCCATCACAGGACCCTGACACACTTTGTGGACAGTGAGAGTAGAGGAGGAAGCAACAAAGTCTCTCTGGATTAAACGAGAATCCCCAGGCAGTGTGACGGTCAGCGTGTTGGGCTTTGTGTCAAGGAGCCAAAGTGGATGGCACCATCAACAGTGGGTCAGGCCGCTCCCTGTGGTTACCCTGAGAACAAAACAGTCTTTGTGGTGTGTTGCACATATCCACAAAGATGCTTCACTAAAACATCTCCCAGTGAGGAGAGCTATTATTATCTTCAGTACAGCAAAGCCTCTTACGGATCGTTCTTTAACCGGATTGGCTGTCTGATGTATGGATACGCTTTCAGGGGCTTTGCAACCAAGGCCATTGATACAAAAACACTTCCATTGCTATCTCCTCTGCTCTCGTCTCCTCACATCTCCCCTCCTCACCTCTCCTCTTATCTCCTCTCCACTTCTCTCCCCTCTGACCTGATTTCCTAAGGTGACTGTTGTTTGGCTCTGACTCTGGGGTTTCCCACCACCCAACCCTTTCCCCACACTTGAGGGTTTTAGGTAGCATGCTAATGTTACATCAGGGCAAGGAGGGGGCTGTGGGCCAGGTAACAGGGTCGTCCCCTGTTCCGACCCGCACTTTGCAACTCTGCTAATAACCTCTTCACAATGTATGAAGTGTAAAGAAATCCAAGGGTAGAAAAGTTGATGGCTTTTTGTGGCTATCCCACCTTTAGTCCTTTTTGTCATATTTTAAATTCACTGTTATGCAGGAGGCAACTTTAGGACATGGTAACAACGTGAGACAGTGTGGTCGATATGTTAGAAGATGTACTGATTTCATTTCATTTATATATTTCGCTGTACATGATGCTGTATACTAAAGGACCTATTGCTACTGACAGACATTGCAGCAAAAGTGCACCTTTTCACAGTTGTATACCACAGGTTGTTTATCGCAATAAATTCATACAGCAGTGTCAGAACTGCAAAAGACAAGTTTATTAAAACAGTACCAGATTTACACCATACAAACACAAGGCACATTTATCTGTGACTTTCATTCAATTGGCGCTTGCTAATTGTATGTAATTAGCACCTAAGGCAGCAGCTCATTACTGAGTCAGCACCTAAGACTGCCCTGCAATGAATTATAATTATCTGAATTCAATGTTTTTCTTGGTTTGATTCCAAAGAGCTTCAACAACCTTGTCAAGTTTTGTTTTGAGCTAAGAAGCTACACAGAAAAGCAAACTGTTTTTCAGAAGCAGATGAAAATGTATTTCCTGCATTCAACATTTTGTATTAATGTTAAATCCTTCTAGGTGAATATGTCTCTCTAAAGCAGTCTGGGATAAGGCTTCTTAAAAGGAACACTTAATGCAACGTGAACGGGTTAATACCAGTCCTTTGGCCAATTAATAGCTATGTTTTTAATCCAGATTTTATATTGGATTAATTTGAATTGCAAATGTAGCTTTTATTAGTAGCTAGAAGAAGATGAAGCATCACTCATGAGATGGATTTGCTTTGTCATCATTATGACAGAAGGGGAATATTTTGCAACCAAGAAACTCATGTCACTATGAAGTAATAGTTGTCTTTGTCTTTCTGTGTGCATGGTATACTGCCGTCTAATTGGTCGAAAAGGCAGCTTGCTGTAATATGCCTCCCTCTGTTATGGTGTGTGTTTCTGTCTTTAGTGGTGCCCTCTGTCTCTTTCTTCTTTCCTGTTCTCTTCATGTTATTTCCTAAGTCCGGCTGCCATCTTTTTTTTTCTTTTCCTCCCAGCCTCATTCTGTTCCTCTCGACGTTGTCCTTCTCTTCCCCCGTCAGTCAGACGCTGTCGTCAGAGGGTCCACTGCTGGGTCTTGTGACTGGCAGGCAGGGCCAGTGCGAAGCCGAGCGGCTATAAATAAAGACCCGGCTGCTGTTGGATAGAGAGGACAGGAGGGCAGGAAGAAAAAAGCTTTTTAAAGCCACCTTTAATATCTGATTTAAAAAAAACATTACGGTTTATTATTTAAAAACAGAGGACACAAATATGCTAACGTCAATTCACTCAATTTGAAGTTATTAACCTTATCCTGTGCAAGTTTCATGGTTGCTTTAGCTAAGCTAGGTGTGTAAGGAATGGGCATTGGCTTTTTATTTATTAAAGTTCATATTTCTTGTGAAGCAGAGGTTGTGTTAATAGCTCAAAAGTCCTAAAAAACACATATTTTGTGAAGTTTGATGTTGGTTAGGTGAGTAGTGCTCTGCAAAAAACAATAATTGTAAAATGTATGTTCTCTGCTCTACATGATACATAAAGCTTAATGGTCACAAGTTCATATCCGCATGATGAGATGTTTTGGGGAAAATTTCCACTTCTATATAAGAACATAAACATTATGATTTCCTGTTGTCTTTCTAAATGTCTGTGCATGTGAAACACTGGAATGGCGGGGGGGGGGGGGGGGGGGGTA